ATGATTTACACCATTAATTATAATGTTTTTGAACAGACATAATATTTTCAATACCTTCACTGAAATATTATAAGTTTATTAAAAAAATATTCTAACTAAAATAAATTAACTCAAAACTTAATGAAAATGCAAATATATGGTTTTAGACAAGTATTCTTTTTGGTTTAACAATAAAAACAACTAAGATAGAGACTTTGAATAGATTTATGATATATTTTTTAAAAAATATTATAATTGAAGAATTGGATAGATTCACATCTATTCCATAAAAACCACAGGATTGAAGAATATAATTAAAATAATAAACCGATTGGAAAATATGAAAAAGGGTAGCTGAAAATTAAAAGGTGGGTTTTAACTCAATTGAGATAATATATCCATGTAAGTATAATTAACCAGCAGCTGACAATTTCGACCGTCCGATGATCTCAATCCAACAATCTTAAAGAGGTCTTTGGACCGGATATATCGTGCCCCTCAAGGAAACCACACTGGCCGTTGGATTCGAAATGGGCGGAGAAGGAATGGTGCATTTGTGACGGTCAGATCGAAAAATCGTGCGGCGGAGAAAGAAACCCTAAGTGACGTTACACAAACGATGGACCTCTATATAATGACCCCGAGTGACGTGCAGCACCAGAACACTTCTCTCGGCCGTCTCTCTCCGCTCTCTCGTGGGAGCAACCCTCTAGGTGCGATCCAATCCCTAGATCTTCGTTCGTGTAGTAAATTCAAGTTTTAGATAAAGTGTGTGCGATTCAATCGTTTGATCCGTGGTTTTACTTGATCTCGATCTTTTCCATCAAGCAAAAAATAAGCGATTTGGGTCTCTATTAGAATCTGTGGTGATTAATGTTCATTTACAGTATTAATCGTTTTAGTCTCTGTATTTTATATTGGAGATCATGAGAATCATGTACTTTAATTCTTCGGATTTGGTCTTATTCAAAGGCTTTTTTTTATATATATATTCTCTGTGACTTAGATGTTACTGTCGAGTGAAGATCCTTTTGTTCTTGGGTTTATGGTTGCTTAATGATTGTCCTGGATTTAAAATTTGATTTTGTTGGATATTGTTCTGCTCATGTGAGATCTTGATTTGATTTTTGAATCGATCATGCATATGTTTGTTGTAGAATCTGAAAAGTTGAATTGTGTTAAGTAATTGGGGTTGAGAAAAAGCGTCTATTGTCTAATGGAAAGGACGAAGGTTATGTGGACCTTCGGTATAGGTTCAAATCCTATTGGACGCTATTAAGTTTATTACATCCCCCGGATTTGGTTTTAATGCCAGTGCGTTTGACATATATTAGAGATATGCTTCTGATATGCCTGACGATGAGGTATTTTAGAAGGGCTAATGGCCTTAACGGGCATATCTCATTGTGCACTGTTACTGGCATGAGCCTGTCTTTATCTGTTCGTGATTTGTTAATTGTTACATTTGCCAAGTATTGGGCCAGTGATTTATGGATCACCAATTCATGACAGATACTTTGCATTAATTAAATAAGATTTTGTGCTTGCTGTAAGGTTATGTGTTGGATGGACTATTCTAAGCTTGCATAATTAGCAACTCTAGTGGCATGTGAATGGAGATACTTAAGGATAGTTGTTTGCTGTTCTCATTTCTTAATATGGCATCATATTTTTGGTAACAAATTCAGTCAAAATTTGATTTTCTTTGCTCAAAAGTTTATTGGTACGATCCATAAACCAACATGCATTCATTTGAATGATTTTCTTCTTCTTGATGCATATTTAATAGGGACTTAGAAGACTTGATGAGTCCATGAATGAGTTGGAATACCTTGATGTTGCTTTGCGCTAAAAATCTTCTCATTTAATTGGAGCCAACTTGAGGTGGTGGTAATATAATAATTCTGTGAACCATGTCTTAATATTTGAATTATGGAAATGTTACTTTTGGTTGGTCATTTGGTACTGAAGTTGATGTGTTCGTATTTATTTCAATGCATTTCATTTCTGTAGGCTGCATTCACTTTGTCTCATTTCAGTATCCAAATTGGTAGAGACATCTCCCTTTGAGGACTGTCATAGATTTTGTTTTGCTGTTGCAATCGTGCAGTTACCACCTGAGTTACAACATTGAGGATGGTTCCATGTAGATATTGTGTGATCATTTTGCTTTTATCTGTATCATTGGCCCATGTTCTTGACTAAAAATTATTCCTTCTATGGTTTCAATGAAATTTGTTGTTACAGGCCCATGTCTCGAGTAATGTAATTTGACCATTTATGTGGCCTTTTCCATCTTTCATTTTAGTATTTTGATGAAATCTGGATCTGTGATTATCATCTGGGAACTTCTGTGATCTATCACTCAGTGGTAATTTATATGAAATAATATATTTCTGATGCTTCCACTTTACTGTTTTGGTTCTATCTTACTTTTAATGTACTATTACAAGCTTGATGTCTGATATTATTTCTGAAATTTTTTTTATTGGTAGTTTCTTTTGCTTTAAGTTACTGTTACCATGGGGAAGGAGAAGGTTCACATTAACATTGTGGTCATTGGTCATGTCGACTCTGGGAAGTCGACCACCACTGGTCATCTCATCTACAAGTTGGGAGGTATTGACAAGCGTGTGATCGAGAGGTTTGAAAAGGAGGCTGCAGAAATGAACAAGAGGTCGTTCAAGTATGCCTGGGTTCTTGACAAGCTTAAGGCTGAGCGTGAGAGAGGGATTACCATTGATATTGCCCTTTGGAAGTTTGAGACCACCAAGTACTACTGCACGGTCATTGATGCTCCTGGACATCGTGACTTCATCAAGAATATGATCACTGGAACCTCCCAGGCGGACTGTGCTGTTCTTATCATTGACTCAACCACTGGTGGTTTTGAAGCTGGTATCTCAAAGGATGGACAGACACGGGAGCATGCCTTGCTTGCTTTTACTCTTGGAGTTAAACAGATGATTTGCTGTTGCAACAAGGTAAACATTGTTCAATTCCGTGAGAAAAGGTTGACCTGGTGTTTATTTGGTTGGCATGTTTTTTCTATGAAATTCTTGCAAATTTAAAATAGTTAAAACTCTTCTTTTTTTTATTTAGCTTTTGCATAAGTCTTTTTTTTTGTCTTGGAGGATCCAGTATAATAGTTTGTCTTCATCATGCGCTCCTCGTACCTGATCATTTGTGATTTGTATAATTTTTCTCCTTTTTCTCATGAGTTTCTGTGGCTGTCTCATTGCAGATGGATGCAACCACCCCCAAATATTCCAAGGCCAGGTATGATGAAATTGTGAAGGAGGTTTCTTCTTACCTCAAGAAGGTCGGTTACAACCCTGAGAAGATTCCCTTTGTTCCAATCTCTGGATTTGAGGGTGACAACATGATCGAGAGGTCTACCAACCTGGACTGGTACAAGGGCCCAACTCTTCTTGAAGCCCTTGACTTGATCCAGGAGCCAAAGAGGCCCACGGACAAGCCCCTTCGCCTTCCTCTTCAGGATGTGTACAAGATTGGAGGCATTGGTACTGTTCCTGTTGGACGGGTCGAGACCGGAGTACTCAAGCCTGGTATGGTTGTTACATTTGGTCCGACAGGTCTGACAACTGAAGTAAAGTCCGTCGAGATGCACCATGAAGCACTCCAGGAAGCTTTCCCTGGTGATAATGTGGGCTTTAACGTGAAGAATGTTGCTGTTAAGGATCTAAAGAGAGGTTTTGTTGCATCTAATTCCAAGGAAGATCCCACAAAAGAGGCTGCTAGCTTCACTTCTCAGGTCATCATCATGAACCATCCTGGCCAGATTGGCAATGGTTATGCCCCTGTGCTCGACTGCCACACATCCCACATTGCCGTCAAGTTCGCCGAGCTGCTCACCAAGATTGATAGGCGATCTGGAAAGGAGCTCGAGAAGGAGCCTAAGTTCCTCAAAAATGGTGATGCTGGCTTCGTTAAAATGATTCCTACCAAGCCAATGGTTGTGGAAACATTCTCAGAGTATCCTCCCCTCGGACGTTTTGCTGTGAGGGACATGCGGCAGACCGTGGCTGTAGGAGTCATCAAGAGTGTCGAGAAGAAGGATCCTACCGGTGCTAAGATCACCAAGGCTGCTGCCAAGAAGAAGTGAGCAAATCTGCAGCAACTTGAGACCTTAGTGGTATTTATCCGATGTGCTATAGGTTTTGGGTGCTTAATGGTTGTGGAACTCATGGAAGGGTTTTTACTGGTGGCTTCAAATGAGTCCGAACTATGCTTTTTGCTGCCTGGGAAGATTTTTAGGCTTTCTACTTCTGGGCTGAGCGGTTCTGATACCTATATTTCTTTGCCTTTAAATAATGTTATGACATTATGTTTTCAGTAAGAATTGCCTGCTTTTAAATCTGTTTGGTTTTTGTTTTGAAGTGTTTTTATGTTTTCTGTCTTCCTGGAATACCAGAAAATTGTTTTAAAAAACAGATTTAAAATTGTAAGTTCCAAAGCACATCCTCAACTGAAGGTCTCTGTGTTGGTTCCTCTGAAAGGC